GCAACCTTAAAAATGATGCAACATCTTTTGGCACTTTTGAAATTTTATGTATGCCCATTACAACACGATGACAATGGCCATTTTGATATTTAATAAAAAATCTATCAAAAGTTATGTCTTTTGGCCGAAGAGTAGCATATTTTCTGTATAAATTTAAATAAAACTCTCCAATTATGGTAAATGAACGATGTTTTTTAGTTTTTGTATTGGGAATATTTACTAATATTATATTTCCCAAATCTTTTACATCATTAACTTTTACTTGAATGAGTTCATCGCATCTACAAGCTCCTGTGACTCCAAATATTAGTGCAACCTAAAAAATATAGAATTATTAATTTTGTAACAATAAAAAAAGTTGGAAAATGCAAGGAAATTCTAAAACATGACGTAATTTTAAGACATCTATATTTATGAGTTTTTACAACATTCTTCCAATGAGCTATCTTTATTTCCGAAAATTGTTTATTATTCTCGTAATGGATACTATAAAATAACTTGAAGTTTACAAATTATAACAAAATTTTGTATTACAAATATAAAAAGGTTAAATATATATCCACCTATAATTTAAAAAGTACATACCTTGGTTGCTAAATATTTTTCATCGGGTGCTTTATTCAGGAATTCGTCAAATTCTTTTTTAGACAAAACTTTCGACTTTTTTGGTTTATAATTTTCACCTTGTCCATTCAAAAATGTAATTAATTTTGAATATTTCTCAATATTTACATTGTGTTCTATGTTTAATTTAGATTTTACCATTGAACGAATATTGCGCCCATAAAGTTGAACTTTTCAGTGTTCTGGACAATCTTGTAAAATATGCTATCATCACATTTTCTGAATAAATATGTGCATTATTTTTTTTGCCCAATTTATGAATTTATCATAAGCATTTTCATAAATTTTTCTCGACTTTGTTGGTATAAGTGTTGCCACTGATGTATTTCAATTTCCAGTAATTCTGGNGTAAAAAGTTATGTAAGACCCATAAATTTTTTTCTATTTATTTGCGACCGTTTTGTCAATAACAGAAAAAAACAGTTTTGTTTGAGCCCTTTTAAGGGCATATAACTTCCTAAGGGTGCGTTTTAGGGCACATGTTAATAGGAACTTTTTGGCTTATTTTAATGAGCTATAAACGCAGCAGAAGTTTGGAACCCTATTTTAGAAACACCCTGTACAGGAGCAGACGAAATTATCCATTTAAAATTATATATCTTTTACAGTGTTGCCAAATTTGACTTTTTCATAGTTCGAATCCTCTCTCACTTTGTTAAAAAAAAGCTGTACCATGTATCAGTCGATATCTTGTACCGTTTTTGAGAAAATCGATCTTTAACAACATACATTTATTGTATCAAAAATGTGATACTAACATTTTTGCAAAAATCTTGGTTTTCATAGAATTAAAAGAAAAAAGAACTGTTAAGTAAGGTGTTCAATATGTGCACATGGAACTTCAATGCATTTTCTGAAATTCCTCAAACACCTCTACTGTACCCCAATAACATGTGGTGATCATTTCTAATGGTGTCAGCGTATGTAATGATGCGATTTAATAATTCTTCCCTACTGTTGCGCCATATTGACTTTTTGCCTCATTAGAAGAAACTGGAAATTCTGCTTATAATGATATGTAATTTATGGAGTTTTTATAAATAAATAACCAAGAGATTGATTATAATTATTACAATTTTAATTAACAAAATGGTAGCCATGTGAAACATTTAAATTTTTCTATAAATTAATTTAATATTTTTTATTTGTAATACTTTTCTCTAATACGTTAACAGCAAAAATCGATTCCTCGCATCATGCTACATCAGACTATGCATTTTTGCCCTAAAATTTTGAAAAACAAGTGAATTATGATTAAAAATTGAAATAGCATAAAATCGGTTTCCCTCAAATATCTTCAAAACTATTCAGAATTTTCTAAATTTAAAAGCAATTCCGCGATCGGCATAAAATTCTGCACACTTTCGCTCATTTAACTATTTCTGTATCTCTTAAAATAAGAAAGATGCCTGTATCGGACAATTAAAAAGTTGTAACCCTTGTAACCTATTAGCTGTATTACTTTGTATTTTATGAAATACTAGTTTTTTAAATAAATAAATTTTTAAATATTAAACTCTTGTCAAAATATTTTTCCTAATTTCGTATTTTTAAAAGAAAAAGTATTGGGGTTTAATAAATTTAAAAAGAAATAAAAATTATACTTACGACTTTATATTAGATAAAACCACGTGACATTTTAGCAGAGATGTAACTTCAGTAGACTCGTTTGTCAATTTAATAATGGCGTAATTGGTAGAAAAATTAATAAACCATTGATTATAACGCAAAGAGAGAAATTGTCAATTATGTCCACAATTTGGAAGGCTTGAACGATATGATTTTGTTTGTTTTTTAATTGCATTTTAATATGTTTTACACAAAAAGTAGACAAGACGATACGTATACGTGGTATTTGAACTAGATTATTTGAAAATTATCAAATGATGTCATATGTGATACAAGTATTCTGCAAAAAATGTTTTTTTTTTAGTAATTCAATAATTTCTTGATACATGCATGTGTTCTATTTGACATATTGACGAAACAATATAAAGCCCAGTAAATATTATCATAAAACCATTGAATTGAAAATAATTTTTAATTTTCAACCCTACAAAGAAAATGTTGGTAAATGTCATAGGTACGTCATCAAAATCGTACAGCATTTGATAGAAAATTTTTCGCAGAATTTAAAAATCAAAAAACATATACCTAGAGTGTTAAGATTAAAGAAAATTGGATTGTAAGTGTAAAACCTATATCTAGGTCTCCTTTACACAAATCAAATTAAGAAGTTAAGAATATCCTAAAAATGCCCTAGGTTTTAATTACAAACTGATATAAACGAAAATATTTACAATCGCTGTTCAACTTTTATAATTCTGATATCAGTATATTTGTAAATAAAGGAAAAAGCATGCTAGGACAATTTCCGTCACGTCTTCGGTTTAGATTTTTAGACGTTTCGAGAAACTCTGAAACCAACACAGAAACTGTT